AGACCTAAGCTGTAGGCAGGCAAGGTTAAGGAAACAACCCCCAACCAGATTACCTCAGCTGCAGGGTAGTCCCTTAACCCCCTACCCCATTTACCCTGAAAAGTGAGAAAAGCCAGAGAATCGTCTCAGGTCAAGCCAAAATATTTCACCTAGGGGATGGGGAGTGTGTTTGGCTTTCTACCTGAATTTGCTAGAATTTTCCCGGACCACCAGCCATTATCTTGAGATCATTCTGTGTTTGGTTTCTGCCCCCTTCCCTCCATGCACCTTTAACATAAACCTTTCTTGTGATACGTATATACCCTATAAGTTGGATAATCGTGCATCTTGAGGGGTGGGTAGAAACACCTACAGATTCCAAGCGTGAAGAAAGGTGTAGTTGGGAGCGGTGTCACCACATCATGAGCAGAACATTTGCTCAGATGCCAGAGTCATTGCCCCTTTTCAGTTAAATTGGGTACCAGCACTTGGCTTATTCCATGAAGTAAGTTGGTGAATGCAAGCTTGGGCATCTCCCTTCACCAGCCTAATGAAGTCATTGTGGCCTTTGAGCAGGGGGCATCCTTTTTTTTTTTTTTTTTTTTTGGAGTACATGTAGTTAGTTGTGGAGATGGTTTCGTGACTAACTTTCCTACTGTATGTACACTCTCTGGTGTTAGGGATAGTTGTGTCTTGCAGTCCCCAGCTTCTAGTGCTCAGGCAGTGTTAGGAAATGCATGTCATCAGGTGTACTGTGGCCTGGTTTCAAAGAACTGATGTATTATAGGTGAGTTGTTAATTCAGAACTAAATCCTAGCTTCATCAAATGCCCTTGGTTTTTAATTCTGCACTGCAGGGAGCACAACTTGCATTTGTTATTAATTTGTATGTAAGAAGATTTCTTCCTTCTGTTCTGGAAACTAGTGGTATATAATACAGTAGTACCCTTTTCAAGGATTGTTAGACTTAAGTGAGATGGTAAAGGTAAAAGATGACCGTGGTTAATGGGATGCTTCTTCAAAATTAGGTGCTTTTGTATTTGTTACTTTAGTTAAATGTGTGTCATAACTTTTGTAGTCAAGCCATTTAACCAAATCAGTTTCAGGTACTGAATGAACATTTTGATAAGTCTTTAGGGATCCTGATGTTCCGCTTATCATTGGCAAAGGGTATTCCTATAGATAAGTAAGAGGTTTTTGCTAATTTTGTGAAGAGACAGTAAAAGCAGCCAGCTCTTCCTCTGGTGAGAGAACTAAAGCTTGGAGGTAGTCTTTTGGTAAGGATACAGAATCGGGGAAAGGCAGGCTGAGTGTGGGGAGGGGGTGCCTCAAAAGATACGGTTAAAGAAGTGGTGGGCAAGGTTAGTTGGCCAGGGAAGAGTAGAGAATGGAATGGAATGGAATTTAACGGAAGTAGAAGAGGATATTGAGAGGTAATAAAGATCCTGAAAGATTATTATCTATGCCCTGATCCCTTCCTGCTTGTTGCATTTCCACTTGAAGACCTTTGCTATGGGTATTTTTTAAAGCTGGCTCCTCTTCTGTTTTTCTGCTAAATCAGGGATAATGGCTGTCTGGATTATTTGGAAACATTGAAGGAGGGGGAGATTGGGTTTGATTGTAATGACTAGGAAGTACTCACTGACCTTGTTTATAAGGAACTCTCCTGCCAAAATGCCAGTGTCCCTGTGAGTAATACTTTAACTTTCAGAGGGTAATAAGTTGGTATCAGTTTTTCTGTTATATGGTACAGACCCTTGGACTACAAATATGAATGTTAGTCTCCTGTAGTGTTGTCTGGTTGGAGAAAGCAGGGACGATCTTGGGGCTAAAAATGGGGGCATCTGTGGGCCTTAGGAAATTGGCAAACCATTATCTAAACTTAGTAAACAGAGCTTTCAAAAATCTTAGCTTGATGGCAACTTTTAAAAACTTGATTATGGAAGGTTTTAAACATTTAAAAATAGAGGAAAGATGCCCTGACCCAAGTGGCTCTGTTGGTTGGGCATTGTCCTGAAAACTGAAAGGTTGCTGGTTTGATTCCTGGTCAGAGCACATGCCTGGGTTGTGGGTTCGGTCCCCAGTCAGGGTGTGTACTGCAGGCAACCCGTTGGTCTTTCTCCCTCACTTTCTCTCTAAAAGTAAATAAAAATATCTTTAAAAAAGTAAAGGGAAGAAAATTATGACCCCTGTGGATGTATCATCTAGCTAAAAGTAGAATTCTGGTTTCATCTATGCCCTTTCCTGTCCACATGTATTTTAAAGTAAAGCTCAGACATACTATTTCATCTGCATGTAGTTACATTTGAGAAACTTATGAATCAACCTGGTCGTTTGATTTCTTGGGTCGGTTTCTTACAGAGAGAAAATACATCTTTTCATTTTCTTGGGATGTTGTAATAAGTTGTCATAGACTTGTTGACTTAAAACAGCAGAAACTTACCAGTTCTGGAGGCCAAACATCCAAAAAGAAGGTGTCAAGGCCATGCTCCCTCTAAAGACTCTAGGAATCCTATCCTGCTTCTCCCCATCTTCTATGAGCAATGTTTAACTTTTCCTTGTCTTGTAGCTGCATCACTCCAATCTCTTGACTTTGTTATGATGCCACATGACCTTCCCTTTGTGTCTTTGTCCTCCTCTTGTAAGAATACAGCCATCAGATTTAGGGCTGTCCCTAATCCAGTATAAACATTCTAACTAACCATATTTTCAAAGGTTAGTCCTGAATAAGGTCACATTCTGAGACTCTGGATGGAAATACACGGGGCGGGGTTGGGGGAGCACTGTTTAACCCAGCCCACCATGCTTTACCACCCAAATCTGTTAGATTAATGGTTCAGGTGGCAATGAGTACCAGTGTTGGTGTTTATATGATCCACCAGTGTAATGATTAGTTGTTTGTTTTGAGGGGGTGAGGGGGTTGTTTAGCTTTTTTAAGTTTGATTTGGGCAATAAGTTCCCTAGGACCTGATCATCTCTGGGCACTGACAAAATTTAGTTTGTGATCTTCAAAAACATTATGGGACCCCTGGCCAGGTAGTTGAGTTGGTTAGAGGGTTGTCCTGATAAGCCATTGTTGTGGGTTCGATCCCAGTCAAGGCACATGCAAGAATCAAACAGTGAATGCATAAGTATGTGGAACAACAAATTGCTGTCTCTATCTCTAAAATCAATAAATTAAAAAAAATTTTTTTAGGCCTGATCATGGAGCTGCAGTGGTTTGTCCAAAGAATTAGGATCTCTAGAGGTTCCAGGCAACTAACAATCCTACTCCTTGAGCACCTATTGATCAGAAGTTTGCCCTAGTTTTACTGCTTTAAAGCTATATCTGCTTTGAGTGCCAGGCCCTTAGTCCTCCACAATGCGGAAATCAGGTTCTGTTCCTGAATGCCGCTGCAGTGTCTCAGCCAGCATTTATTGACAAGTACTTATGCTGGGCAATGAGAAAGAAAAGTTCCTGTGTTCAAAGGCTTATCTAGCCCAAGTTCTCTGTTCTTGATCCAGCCCAGCTATTGAACAAAACTATTTTTGTACTTTCTACTTAATGCTTAGATTTCTTATCTGGAAAAGTGAATGAGGTACAGGTCATCTGGGAAAGTATAAAGCACTAGGTTATAGCAGACCCTACCTTTGACCTTTTGAATAATGGAGCTATAAAGGAAGGGGGGGAAAAACAAAACTCAGACCCGATTCCAAAACCTCTCCTCAGGGTGTGGGGCGAAGATATGCTCATGTGGTGTTGAGGAAAGCAGACATCGACCTCACCAAGAGAGCAGGAGAACTCACAGAGGATGAGGTGAGGACAAGGAAGGGGGTCATGGGTTGGGCCTACCTTGAAAGGGAGCCATCTGGATCTGACCCTTGTCCTGCCTGCCAGGTGGAACGGGTGATTACCATTATGCAGAACCCACGCCAGTACAAGATTCCAGACTGGTTCTTGAACAGACAGAAGGATGTGAAAGATGGGAAGTACAGCCAGGTGTGTATCAAGATACGGCCTTTAAAAAAGGCAGGGCATCCAGTTAGAATAGAATTGGCCATAGGGATTGAGTGGTAAAACAAACATCCGTCACCCTCTTTGAAATCCAGGTCCTGGCCAATGGTCTGGACAACAAGCTTCGTGAAGACCTGGAGCGGCTGAAGAAAATTCGGGCCCATAGAGGGCTGCGCCACTTCTGGGGGTGAGTCAGGATGGGGGTTTCCTTTCCCTTCCTGCCCCTAGGCTCCCAGATATTTCTCAAGCTCTGTCTTCTCTTCCCAGATCTTTTCTGTGTAAAGTGTATGACTTGTGATCCTTCTCTTTTCTCACCTGCAGTCTTCGTGTTCGAGGCCAGCACACCAAGACCACAGGCCGCCGGGGTCGCACTGTGGGTGTGTCCAAGAAGAAATAAATCTGTAGGCCTTGTCTGTTAATAAATAGTTTATACACCTGTGGCTTCCTTTGTGAATTTTCTTCCTTCTGGAGACACTGATAGGGAATGCTAGCTCTCGTGAAGGACCCTGTTGGTCATAAGTGTCTTAGCTGATGTCCCCACCCAGCTGCCCAAACAATGTAATTCAGTGGTGTCGTTCCTTTTCCCCCACCCCTAAGGTATGAGGAAGTTGGAGCAATCAACACAGCCTTGAAGTGCCCAAGCAGTTTTTCCGGGGGCTTGACTGCAGAGTGGTGTGGCACATGGACGTAGTTTGAGCTTAGTTGCAACTCCAGTGAGTCAGTGCAGGTTTTGGCCACCCTAGGTTTCTAAAAGATGTCAGCTGGCTGTCGGAGAGATGGGGGTGGGGTGCAGATTTCTTGGACATAAAATCAGAATCGATGGGCTCCCGTAGGTGCACATGTGGTTGGGAAAGACTTGTGCCACAAGGCACACAGATCCAATTAAATTCCTACCCCGTCCCTGGAAAGGCTCCACTTTCAGGCGGGTCCACCGTTCTGCCAAAACTTCCGGCTGGGATTCTGGGAATGCGCAGTGCCACGCCCTCCTCAGCAAAGGGGCGGGACTGCCGCCGTAGGGCGGGGGAGGCCGCTGATGCCGCAGCCATCAGGCAGCCATGGAGCCGAGCTTTAGGGTGGTGGGGCTGCGACAAGGTAACCTCCCCACCGCTCCTGCTGTGGTCCCCCGCGCCGTCTCCTGTGTCTACCTCTCGGCACCTTCCGGCGGCGCTAGTACCGCGGGCACGCTCTGCTGGCCCCCTCCTAGGCGTGGTCGGTTAGGGACCCAGGCTGCTGAGAGCTGTTCTCTGCGCCCTCCAGCCGCCCTCCATCTTTCCTCTCAGGTTCCCTTTGACTGCGCCACATCATGCCCCTCAGCTTCTTCCGGCGCCTTCTCCTTGCGGCCCTGCTGCTGGTGATTGTCTGGACCCTCTTCGGTCCTTCAGGCCTCGGGGAGGAGCTGCTGAGCCTCTCCCTAGCCTCCCTGCTCCCAGCACCAGCATCACCTGGGCCACCCCTGGCCCTGCCCCGCCTCTTGATCCCCAACAAGGACGCCTGTCGTGGCCCTGGCTCCCCTCCCTTCCTGCTCATCCTGGTGTGTACGGCCCCTGAGAACCTCAACCAAAGAAACGCCATTCGGGCCTCGTGGGGCGGGCAGCGCGAGGCCCGAGGGCTCAGGGTGCAGACTCTCTTTCTTCTGGGAGAGCCGAGCCGGGGGCATCCCTCCTGGGGCTCGCATGAGAACCACCTGGAACAGGAGTCTTCGGCCCAGGGAGACATCTTGCAGGCGGCCTTCCAGGACTCCTACCGCAACCTTACCCTCAAGACCCTCAGTGGGCTGAATTGGGCCAACAAACACTGCCCCATGGCCCGCTACGTCCTCAAGACCGATGATGATGTGTTTGTCAACGTCCCGGAACTGGTATCAGAGCTGGTCCGGCGAGGGGGCCGTTGGGAGCAATGGGAGCGGGGCACAGAGGCCCAGAAAGAAGCTGAGGCTGGAGGTGAAAAGTGGGAGGGAGGCGGCCCCACTTTGGGGAGCCAGCCTGTGCCTCTTTTGTATCTGGGCCGTGTGCACTGGCGGGTGCACCCCTCTCGGACACCAGGGGGCAAGCACCAGATATCAGAGGAGCAGTGGCCTCCCACCTGGGGCCCTTTTCCACCCTATGCCTCTGGCACAGGGTATGTGCTGTCAGCTTCTGCTGTGCAGCTCATCCTCAAAGTGGCCAGCCGGTCACCTCCTCTGCCATTGGAGGATGTCTTTGTAGGGGTAAGTGCTCGACGAGGAGGCCTCACCCCAACCCACTGTGTCAAGCTGGCTGGTGCCACCCACTACCCCCTGGACCGGTGCTGCTATGGGAAATTCCTGCTGACATCCCACAGGTTGGACCCCTGGAAGATGCAGGAAGCCTGGAAGCTGGTGGGCGGCTCTGATGGGGAAAGGACTGTACCCTTCTGCTCCTGGCTCCAGGGAGTCCTGGGCATCCTGCGGTGTCGGGTAATAGCCTGGCTGCACAGCTGAGAGGACCTGGGCCATAGGAGAGGAGGAGCTCAGGGTCCAATCAGCACCCCCACAACCCTTCTCCCAGGCCCAAGGCAACTGACTACAACTGAACAGTTCCCCTACACCAGATGCTTAGTTTGTCACTGAAGCCTGAAGGATATAGGGGTTACTTGGGACCTGGCCTACCAGCCCCAAATATAGTCATCAGAAGTGTAAAACATCTGTGACAGAGGAGGGCACAAGCCCCTTAATAAACTTGTCTCTCTACCTCTCCGAGTGCAGTGTGGTCCTCACCAGAAGTCCCAGCACACAAACCTAGGGAGCCTGGAGGATGCTGGGCCTGCTGGATGGGAAACACATCTCCAGAGACGTGGGGGAGAGGGGACAGCCTCTCTGAGAAAGGTCTGTAAAGAGCAAAGCTATGACCATAGCAACCACAAGATATGGGGTGGAGGTAGAGGCAGGACATCATGACCCCTCGGAGCCTAGAGTAGCCATGCTAGGCAAAGGCAGGGGGCAGGTCCACAGGATGATCCAGACACATTATTCAAAAACCTTCTCACTTTCTTCTTTAATACCAACCTACTCCAGGAGCCAGTTCACTCCCAGCTGGGGAAGGAGCACCTGTCCCCCATCCTTATTCCAAGAAACAGGGCCATTCCCCCACAGGTGATCTTGGGGAGAGACCGTTACTCCCAGGCCACCCTGGAGCCTGGCTCAGCGCACAAATCTGTCCAGGGCAGATCGCCGGGCCACCGTGGGTTTGGCCACCTTTTCTTGCTTCTGTGACTGCTGCTCAAGACTCTGTCGGACTTTGTCCTGGGAATGGGGAGACAGGCAAAGTGAGAAGTGGCAGATTGGCGAGGCCAAAAGCATAAACAAGGAGGGTGCAGCCCGTGGGAGGCCTGGCCCACCCCACATATGCTCCTTTACCCTATGTTCCTCATCCATGACCTTCCTCTTCCTTTTCATCAGACTTGCGGTCGAGCTTCGGCCCTTCTTCTTTGGCTTTGGCTGGAAGGGAGCCTTGGACTCTGGGTCATAGCCCTAGAGGAGGGGAGAGGAGTGATGTCTGTAACAGCCTCACAGACAGGGCACTGTGGCAGCACCCACTTGCTGTGCCACACTTCTGGGGACATGGTCAGAAAGGATGCGCCTAAGCACTCAGGGGTCTGCTTTACCAGCCTCTCTATCCGCTCCTTCTTTTCCTGCTCCAAAGAGATGACATCAACCTCTGCCAGGGCTCGTGGGTCCAGACAAATGAGCTCTGCAGGTACCTGGAGATGTCACAGAGGGACAGGAATGGATAGGGTAGGTGACCTCAAAGAGGGACTGAAGCTGGGGAGACTGCATGCCAGGAAGACTACACACAAATTCCACTCTTCCCAAGACCCCCCCAGCATAGAAGCTTTCCCCACCTCCGCATCCTCACCTTCTCCAGAAGGGCCTTCACTTCCCACTCCTGCCGTTGCTTCCGGCTCCTGTATGGGTTACTCTCCAGACCATCAAAGTTGGGCTCAGCGGCCCCTGGGAGGGAAGAGCATGGAACCGTAAATGGGAAAACAATTCAGCATTCCAGCCTGACCAAGCTCCTTGCTCCTGGCTGTCCCAGGCCCACTCAAACTTCCATCCAGAGTTCATTCACTTTCAGCCCCATCCCCTGGCCCACTCACCAGGGACCAGCATGCTGGTAATGCCTCCAGTGTGCCCCACACCTAGCACATCTTCATAGGGGCAGAACTGAAGGCCATGCACATGGCCTGAGAGCCGGTGGGTGAGGTAGGGCTTCTCCAGGGAGGGTGGGCTAGCCTTGCCCTGCCCTGCCCATATGTTGACCACATCACCCATTCCTGCAGCGAGCAGTCCCCACTGGGAGAAGGCCAGGTGCCCCACTCCCTGGGGCAGGGTCCGAGCGCTCAGAGGCTGGTATGTCCCTCGCAAGTCAAAGATTTTCAGCTGGTGGTCCAAGCCAGAGGTGGCCATGTACCTGGTGGAAGAGGGGGGGATCAATTAATCTAAGGTGTTAGTGAGGAGGCTTGTGGCCAAGTCCAGGCATCAAGTCCAGTTAGGGAGAAAAAGACTGAGAGTAACCACGCCCATCACACCAAAAACTCTGCAGACAGCCTCTTGGTTATGTGTCACACAACTCTTATACTCTTTTTATTTCCCTTTTACAGGTAAAGAAACAAGCTCAGAGGAAGGAAATCAGGGTGAGGTGTAGAGCAAGAATTCAAGGCAGGCCTGTTTCTTTAGCATCTGCCCTCTAACTACTCAAGACATGAATCAAGGGGAGAATGTGTGTGACAATGTCTACTTAAATGTGCTGTCCTGTAGACAGGCAGCACAGCAGTTCAGCAAAGGGAAGGATCAAGAAGGATCGACTGCAGTGGTCAGGGAGGACTGCCTCGGAAAACTGGGGTGTAAACCAATCTCAGTAATTCTCAAGAAAGCACAAGAAAGAGAGATACTGCCATACAAATGAATGATCAGAGAGTGGAGATGGTGAGACAGAGGCAAAGGTTTATTTTCAGGATTGGTGGGAAATACAGCCAGGAAGATCAGGAAGGAACAAGTCTTTCAAGTCAGACTGAGGCCCTAATGCCCCCACAGTGCCCTCCGCTAATAAGAAGCCACAACTGAAGACCGCATAGGCCTGAGAAAACCTTGGGAGGGAATAGAGTCAAGTGCTAGGCGGCCCTACCCCACCCTCTCGTTCCCTGAAGGAGGGAGGGCAAGGTTACAGACCAGAGCCTCTCAAGGAATCTGGCACTGTACAAATTGTTTATTTTCAGAGGTTGGAGTTTCTACCTATGTTCAAGTTGTTCCTCAGAGAGGGAGGCTAAAGGAGAGCCAACCAGTCCAGGAGGTGTATTTTTGCCAAAGGGTCAAGAAGAATCTTTTTGGCTGTGGCTGTGAACCCAGGAAGAGGGGACCGAAGAGTTCCTAAAAGCAAAGACATGCCCTGTGATAGAGCCAAACAGAGGCCCAGATGGACACTTCTGACAAGACAATCAGGGCCCCAACTCCACCAAAGGGAAAGGCCATAGGTGCAAACCAGGAAATACTGAGGGTTCCTGGGATACAGGGTCACACCCTTCAATGAACCAACAACTCCGGCACACATGCTGGCTCCTCACAAACCTTTGGGATCCCCTATGCAAATACCAGTCCACTGGCCAGATGGGCACCCGGGCACTCAGGCATCCCACTACTAAACTTGTAACAAGCAGTTCAGCTTTGAGAATCCAATCCTAAGGCAAGCTTCCAGAAAGCCTCTTAAGGAAGACCATAAGGGTCATCTCTGGAGCCCCTGTGGCCTGTCTGGGGTGCTCCTGAGGAGGACCAGAGATAAGCAGGGCTGAACCTGAAGAACGATTTACCATCTAAGTGTTGACCAAACCTCAGTAAACTGACTGATTACCCGCTGGGAACAGGAGCAAGCTGATCCCGGCAGCTCCAGGGAGGCGAACTATAGCTCAGGTGCAGCGGCCCTGAAAGCCCCAGGACAGTCCTCTACACTCTCCTAGAGCCAACCTAGCACAGCTATGGAGTCAAAAGGGTGGAACCAATCACTTTCCCCCAAAGATACAACTCTAGGAGCCTAACAGATCTGAGCCTCTGGAAGGCTTTCATTAATTGGTGGCTGCTGGGCTTTTCCTTTTCCTGATTTCCTTTAAAACAACTTAAAAATAAAGCCATGTAGTCTATATTTAATATAGATTCCTGACCAGCAGTGTAAAAGGAGAAAAGCAACTTGTGGGAAAGGTGATTCTGACAACACCCTGCAGGACAAGGCAAGAGGTAAAACTGGAGGCTGGAAACTGGCTGTGAGCGCCACACATGCCCACTGAGACAGCAAGGATGAAGAGAAACAGATCTTGGAGGGACCTTTGAGGGGAGAGGCAATAAGGACTTCACAGGAGGTCATAACCTGGAGGATTATGGCATCCGATTGCTTCACACTGTTGCTGGAGTCGCAGAAACTGGGCACCCAGAAAGCACCCAGTAAACAGTGCTTTTGATTCCTGATATTCCTAATGGCTAAGGAACATGGGGCTGTGTAGCTAACCAGAGGTGTCAAAGGAGTCAAATTGTGGGTGACAGGAAAATGTGGTAGAAAAGCAGACAAGGAAAAATCCTGGGAGTGGGGTGTCAGATCCAGTGATGGATACATCAAGTGTTTGGGGTAACAAAAGACAACTGAGTGGAGACTAAATGCCTCCCCCTCCTCTGCCCCCACCAATCATTCCTGTAAACTACTGCCACCTGTTTTTGTAAAAAAAAAAAAGTGGAACTGGAACAATACACCAGGGCAGGCCCAATGGCTGATTAATCCTTATACCCCAGAACCTTAGCACAGAGCCCAGTCCACAGCAGGTGCCCAGTGAAGGCCTGATGAATGAAAGGAATTAGAGGAAAGCACACAAGAATTTGTGTGGAAAACTGTCCACCAGATCCAGGCATACATACAAATCAGACAAAACAGCTGTGAAATGCAAATACTCTCTCAGGAAGAACAGAAATTCAAAGCAGACCCACCACCCCACCCCTCACATCACCAGCCAGACCTGAAGAGAGCAAACATTTTTAGTGGTGATGATGATGAAGTACAGTGCTGCCTACTCTTTGGCCACCATGCTAAACTCTATGTGCCTTAACTCACTTACTGTCTCTAACAGTTTTATAAGCTAAATCTAGGTGTTGGCAAACTATGGCCAGACAAATCTGGCCCACCACCTATTTCTGCAATGCCCACAAGCTAAGAATGGTTTTTACATTTTAAGTGGTTCAAAAAAAATTGAAAGAATATTTTGAGCCCTGGCTGGTGTGGCTCAGTGGATTAAGCTCCAGCCTGCGAACCAAAGGGTCGCCAGTTCAATTCCCAGTGCAAGCCACATGCCTGGGTTGCAGGCCAGGTCCCTGGTAAGGGGCACGCGAGATGCAACCACACATGGATGTTTCTCTCCCTCACTCTCTCCCTCCTTTCCCCTCCCTAAAAATAAAGTAAATAAAATTAAAAAATATATATTTTGAGTGCTCGCTTTGGCAAGCACATGTACTAAAAATGGGAACAACAGAGAGATCAGCACAGCCCCTCTACAAGGATGACATTCAAGTTCATGAAGCGCTCCATTTTTTTTTTAAAAGGATATTTTGAGATTAGAAACTTACATGCAATTGTGTGCACAAATAAAGTTTTATTGGAACACAACCACATTCATTTACTGCTTTTGTGCTGCACAATAGAGTAGTCAAGACAGACGCTGTGTTTGGCATCTGATTGCTTCACACTGTTGCTGGAGTTGCAGCAACAGAGCCATAACCTGACAGCATTCCAAATACCTGTCCACCAGTCTCAGACCACCGGTCTCATTACCTGTCTGTGTCAGAGATGTTTTCTAAGATAAAATATGTAAAATCTCTGTATAGATTAGCATTAACAAATAAACATTTGCAGTCGAGTTTGGTGATTTGGAACACTAACTTTTTTTTTCATTGTATTAACTTAGGGGTTTTTTTTTAATTATATTTTGAAAAACTAACTTTGAATATCAATTAAGCAAATCCTCAAAAAGAGGAATCTGATTCTTCCCATTGGTAGGCCTGTATTTGAAAACTATTGTAGTCATTATATATTTTGGATTTCATTGCTTAAAAATTTGTGATACTGTTTTCTCTCTTATTACTTAAGTATTTACATAACGCCCTTGATTTTGCCTCTTGGCCAGCAAAGTCTAAAATATTTACTATGTGGCTCTTTATAGAAAATATTTGCTGACCCTTGGGATAGACACTCATGCATCATCCCAAGTTAAAACAAGTGTGGCACACAGAGGTTAGGTAATGTGCCCACACTCACCTGGCTTGACAGTGGTGGCATAAGAATTTAAAGCCAGGCAGCTTGACTACAGAATCTGTGCTCCTTTTGCCCAGCTGTGACCTCCAGCACCTCATACCCAAACAACTGACTTACGTGCCTGTAGAATCTACTGCCACAGCCCGGACCCCACCACGGTGACAGAGAATCTTTGCCAGTGGCTCCTTCATGGCTGGACTCCATAAGGACACAGTACCTGGAGGTCAGAGAAGACCTGAAGTTACTAATGAGCACTGAAGATATTAAACTAGGGAAAGATGGGGGTTCAAGACAAAGAGGGCTCAAGAGAGAAAGGTAAAACGGCAACTTTAAGGGACTCATAAGGTACAAATATAGAAGAAAAGCAGGTTAGGATGGTTAGAGAGTCAAAGCTCAGCCAGGGACCAACCATTGCTATGTCCGAGATGGATGACAGCATTGTAAGGGTTCTGGGTCATGACATCGAGCCGTCCAGCCCGAGCATTCACAGCTGCCACAATCTTCCCCACTGACACGTCCAGGTAGGTCAGAAACCCTGTCTCTGACTGTGAGAGAGAGAGTAAGTCCTGAGTGCCCTGTTCTCCCTTTGTTGGGGTCTCAGAGGAGTGGTCTTTTCAGGGGACTGCCACTCAGCCTCTGTGCAGCCACATGTCCCCGGTACCCTCCAAAAGCCACTCACAGACGTGGCCAGGAGGAAGTGGAAAGGCAGGAATTCAAGTCGTGTGACACGGTCACAGCGGCGGATGCAGTGGACTTCAATTCCCTGGTTGTCATAGATGTGAAGCCAGTGGTTCTGAGCAACAGCAAGCAGTGCCTCTGAATGCAGAAACCTAGGAGAAAGAGAGAAGTAACTCAGTGGGGAAAGAAGTCACAGTCATCATTCAATCAGGAATGAGCTGTCTCACTACCACTGACCACCTACAGAGAGGCCACTGACCGGATGTCCCGCACGGCCTCCATGACATTGATCTCGCACATGAGCCTCTTTGTCAACCAGTCGAGGGCAGCCACGTGACCCCGGTACCCTCCAAAAGCCAAGTGCCTATTGGAGGTGGGGAACAAGTAGAGTGTCAATGCAGGGAAGCACCCTCAGACCATTTGAGGTCTGCTGAAGCCAGCCCCTTCTCTCCTGAGAGGAGAGGTGTCACACTATACGTGCTCACCCTCACATGCAAGCAAGTCACAGGACACTCTCTATATCAACAACCCAAACATACACTGGTATTGCTGAAGTGGTTAAGGAGACATGACGATGTCCCAGTTCAAGTATCACTGGAATTCAACCTTACCTCCCAGTCTGGGAGTAATTCAACCTGTAGGGTCCAAACTGCCACAAGTTCAAGTCAAAGTGCTGGGAAAGGAAAGAATTTTAAAAAGAACTAAGAAATACAATAACTGGCTAACATCAGTAATTCCCCCTTCTAGTCCCCACTTCATTCTTGTGTGGCCCCTTTCCCATTCTCAGGCTCACCTTGGCTGCACTTGCAATGTCCACAGCCTCCACAATGTCCGCCTGGCTTATCTTCGCTGTGTCTTCCCCATCCTCGCCTTCCAAAAACCTGCAAGTGAGTGTTGGGGCTGCAATAAAGTTTCCTAATATGAAGTGAGTATATCAACAACAAAATGAGAAAGGATAGTCCTATAAAGGAGGCTGGGAAGGCTCAAATTAGGGGCCACTTACCCAGGTTCCTCAGCAAGCAGCAGCTCAGAACGAGCAGCTTTAACACTTACTTCCTCTTCTTCAGCTTCAGCCACCTCAAGCCGGCTTCGGATTTTGGATTTAGAATGTGGCAGCTGTAACATTGATTGTGGGGAAGCAGTGGGAAAAGAACCAGAAACTGTGTGGGCCCAAAGAAGAGCCACCTGGTCCCACCTGCACCTAGACCATTCAGACACTCCCTGCCTGCAACCCTACTCTCAGGCTGGTCCTCACCTTTTTGGATTTGTCAATGCGACGGAACTTCTGAGCCACCTCCACAGGGACAGGGGCGGGGCCTGGGAATGGGTCCTGGGCCTAGGGCAGGGAGTAGGCAATTCGCTGACAGGCTTGGATTGACCCCAACCTTGGCACCCAGAAAGCACTAGGGGTCTTGCCCCGCAACCCTATCAGGTCCCATGCTCACCCCGGACAAGCTCCGCTGAGGCCTCGGATTCCTCCGTTCTCGGGATTTCTTCAGGACCTGGGGCTTCTTGGAGATGCGAGACCTCTTTGGGGTGTGAGTGTTCTTTGGTTTCTGGGGGAGAAACTCTTGATACCTCTTCCTGTTACGAGGGGGCCCTGGAGAGGCTCCTGCAACAGGCGGAGTGATCTCTTCCTCCCAGTATCGCCGCGGTTTCTACGGGCAGATGAAGAACACTTATGCTCCGCTATCAGTGCCCTGCCCCTCCGACCCCATAGCTGAAAACTTCCTTTCCACCCAAGGAAGACCTCTACCTTCTTCTTGGTCTGAAGTTTGTCTTTCTTGGGAGGAACATCCTTGCCCGGATTGGGGGCAACCTCCATCTAGCGCAACTTTAGGGCGATGCACGTGGAAACTCCTCTCAGCATACACTGTCGGACTAGGACCTCCCGGAAGTCCTCCTCCCCTCATCCAATCAGCGCTGAACCAGGTGTGACGCCTTTAGTCGTCATTTTGACTGAGAGCCCGGTCGCCCTTAAGTGGCGAGATGGGCCTTGGTCGCGGCCCTCCTGAGTGGCATCTTATGTACGAATAACAAAAGAAAGGCAAATCCGGGACCAGGTCCCAAGAATCGGTAATTTCTTTTTCCATCTTCGTTTCCTCCTCTTGCCTAAAACCTTCAAAGTTTTCTTGTTTGTTTGCTTTTTAAGCAGAACATCCCGTATTAAATGCTTCTGAACTACAATTCCCGGCATGCATCAAAAGGGAGCAGCTGCACAGTCTTTTCCCAGCATCCTTTGTTTATTTCCGGGTTTATGAATACTTAGGCGAGAACGTGAGTAGGACAAGGTTTTGGTCGAGAGGCTTATGGTCTTATTTCAACCGCCACCCGCTACTGCCAGAATCGTGTCGACATCCGGACGGGGAGAAGCTAGCGGTACTCTGAGAGGCCGCCCCCTAAGAGTGCTGTCATTTCCGCAGGCCAGACCATTAGGGGAGCTCGGATACCTTCCAGAGTGTAAGACCCAGCGCCCCTTTCCCGCTCCTCCAGACTTTCGTCTCCACCATGGCTGAGCTGATCCAGAAGAAGCTACAAGGAGAAGTGGAGAAATATCAACAGCTACAGAAGGGTAAGGCAGCCGGGTGGGTGTAACTTCGCCCCAATCCCATCACCTACTGCAAACGCCATACCAAAATCATATTTTCTTCCCTACCCACTGATCCTTGTCTACTTCCTCAACTCCCATTTTCTTCTGACTAGGATTGTGGGGGTCGGGTAGCACATTTGATGTCTCTAATCAAGTCTTTCCTCTCACTCACACTCTCACCCCCAGACTTGAGTAAATCTATGGCAGGGAGGCAGAAGCTTGAAGCACAACTAACAGAAAATAATATCGTGAAGGAGGTGAGACTGGGATTTGTGGAGCGAGGAGGGACCTATACTGGCAAGGATTCTGATCAAATGTGTTCCACCCCTTTATCAGGAACTGGCCCTCCTGGATGGGTCCAACGTGGTCTTTAAACTTCTGGGTCCTGTGCTGGTCAAACAGGACCTGGGGGAGGCTCAGGCCACAGTGGGGAAGAGACTGGACTATATCACAGCTGAAATGTGAGTTTTTGTCCCACCACCCTGTGATGTGCTTGACGCTGCCCGAGTAGTGATGTTGAGGAACAATTGTAGAGTAGCTCTCCAGAGTGTCCCGATTGTACACTTCTCCAACCTTTTCCCATTTAACCCTCTCTCCCCTAGACCTCAAGTTGTCCATTGACTTTTTTTTTTCTTTTTAAACTTTATTTTTATTGTCCACTGATCTCTTTCCTAATTTCAACATCCTTAGTAAGTCTCACTAATTTCTTATCTGCTTTTTTGCCTCTCTTGCCTTTCCTCAGTAAGAGATACGAATCCCAGCTCCGGGACCTTGAGCGGCAGTCAGAGCAACAGAGGGAGACTCTTGCTCTGCTGCAGCAGGAGTTCCAGCGGGCCCAGGCGGCAAAGGCGGGCGCTCCTGGGAAGGCCTGACCCCATGGTTGGGGGGAGGGAAGGAAACCAGGCAGCTCTAGGGTCTATACTGTACCTAATAAAATGCGAAAACACCTGGCTGTTTTCTGACCAGCCACTTCTGTCATAATTGTCTCCTTCTTTTCCCCTGGCCCCTGCCATCTGTTACCTCAGGTTCAAATTCTTACAACTGAAATCTGTGACAAAGCAATCCATCCTTTTTTAAGACTAAAATCTGAGATAAATCACACCTGTTTCTTGTCTGTCTAAAACCCTAACTCCCTTATCTTGCTTGGCATTCCCCTTTAGGAAACATCAGGTCATTTACAGTTCAGCAATTGTTGGGAAGATCTGTTTAAGAACTCACAGTTTTCTAACTTGAGATCCCAGGATGAAAGGTGACAACCCTATGCTATGATTTCTTGTTAGCCTCCAAATAGCCTTGGCATCTCTTAGTTCTTTTATCTCTCTTCCTAGAATTTGTTTGAATGTAGCTTGGACTGACTTAAAATCCTCACACACACTTTGTGATGTAAGTCTTCCAAGTTTGTACATCGCCCACAAAGTTCTTCCATTTTTTTGTCCTAAAATTGTTTTTTACATATTTGTAGCCAGGGGAGTTCTTTATACTGATCACTGTAATCAGGTGGCTAGTGCTTAACATGGGTCTGTGACAACAAAGGAGAAAAATTTAAGAGCAAATAAAGGAACAAGGGACAGAGAGGTTGCTAAGGAGGAATAAACCATTCTGAGGAGCCTGACTGATGGGGCTCAGTGGGTTTAGGTGTCCTCTTGCACAGGTTCGATTCACAGGGCACATGCCTGGGTTGTGGGCCAGGTCCCCAGTTGGGGGCGTGAAGGAGACCGACCATCAATCAGTATTTCTCTCACACATGGATGTTTCTCTCCCTCCCTTCCTTCCTCCCTTCCTCTCTCTCTCAAAATGAAATCATTTTTTAAGAAATTCTGAGGACACTGTTTTTCAGTAACACCTCACTCTCAGATCTTCATGGTGATAGAAAACACTGGGTACCTTTGTGTTCCATGGCATCTAAATTTCAGACAGCTTCCCATCCCCCACCCCCACTCCCAGGAGCTGGTTCATGCACACTGGGATGACAGGAGTAGAATTCAGGTAGTGTTTTTGGTTTATTTTAGTGTCACAGTGACAGGAACCCCCAGAGTAGGAAAACAAACTCCTACTAGAATCTGCTTCTTGCCATCCTCTCTCCCTGGAGCTCAGAGCCTCTAGATCTTTCTTCTCCCTGTACTCATAGTCTTCTTGGTCCTTGGCATGCTAGGACATGGCCAGGAATCACACCCCTTTTCCCAGCACTAACAATGTGCTGCATTCACAGAAAGTGGGGAGCTATACATGGATATCCAACTTGGTTACCAAGATTACCAGTTCCCAAAGGGCAGGATCTCTTGGCTGCCTGAGAAACCAGTGGCACTTCACTGCCCCAGAATGGTTGGCAACCTTTCTGGGTTTCTTCCCAATGCAACGTAACTGCTGCCATTCAGCATGGCTTCCCACATCTGATACGGTCACCGAGAGTTCTGTGAGCCAAAAGAGCTTCCTCCTCAGAACAGTGCCCGGGCAATCTTCCTCCCTGTAGCCTTGATCCTAGGAAAGGAACCCCCTCCTCCCTCGCTAGGGGGAGTTCCTGAGGCAGAGGGGCCACTGGTGAGGCCTGGTGTCACAGTAGAGGGCCTTCGTCGCTGCCGCAGAAGGAAATCATGCGAGGCTCTGTCCATGGCATAGAAGACATTGGCCGAGGGTGGAATTGTCAGCTCTGTAGGTTCAGGGAGGGAGTGTCAAGCAGAAATACAGTCGCTCCCCCAGCAACCACCTAGGTATAGAAGCATTCCCACCCGTGGGCATCACTGTCCTCCCCAGTCTGCATCTGACCTCGCTCCCCTGGTAGCAGCTGCACTAGCTCATACTCTGAAGCCACTGCAGAATCACGATTGTTTTTCTTAAGGACACAACTGATGACACTTGGAGCCTTGTCCTGGCTTGTCACCTGGCAGGAGATCAAAAGAGCAATAAATTGGCCAGAATGACCTATGCTTCCCATCCTTCCAACCCCAGACATTGATCTCCAACCAAAAAAGGTTACCCATGTCCAGTACTTCATAGTGAACAGGGAAACCCTATGTGGTGGCTCCCTGTCCACAGGCCAACCCACATGGTGCCCAGTGAGATAAGACTGTGTCCCTGTGGGGAAAACAGCTGTTCATTCTGAACATCTAATACGGCCACCAGAAGTTCAAGGTGCAACAGCTAATTATGCTTTAAAATAAAATCTGGCTCCTAAAATCAATGGTCAAAATTAAAATTACAATTATCCATAGCCCCTCAAGCCACCACCCTTCACCCTACCTCCCAGCCCACGGCCCCCTCACCAAGATGCTCTTGTAGACACTGCCATCTTCCCCCAGCTCCATCTGGACTCTGATGATGCGACAATCGGAAGCCCCTGGCCCAGAGCCCCCTCCCCCGGATGCAGTCCCCCTGGAGGCCCCTTCCGCACCCCCACTAAGCGGGGAACCACAGGAGGCTGAGCGGCGATGACCTCGAGAAGGCCTAGGGGAGGATGCTGGTGGGGAAAGGCAGCTGGGGCCAGCTGGACTGGGCAGGGATGGAGTGCCCTCCAAGGCGGAGTCCAGAGATGACACAGACGGCCATTTCATGTGCTGGGGACAAGCAACATGGCAGACTGATGTGAATGCAGGGAGGCCAAGGAAGAAATATTCACAGCGTCAGCGTCAGTGCTGAGATCGGAGGTCAGGAGCACAGCTCACCTGGGCCAGCCGGGTCAATAGAGGAGCAGGGGTTCCAGGCACCTCATCTCCCCCAACACTAGGCCGATCCCAGGAGACAAGCGGGGTGGGACCCCCAACAGAGCCTAGAACCCTGGAGTGGCAGGAGATTGGGAGGGTAAGGGGAAGAAGGCAAGTCCCCAAGAGACTACCCCCCAACCACTGACTCTCACTCTGTCCACTGTGAGATGACCAGTGTTGGCCGAAGCACTCGAGGGGCAGGAGAGTCACTGGTCCCCGGTGGCTCCACCTCACAGGACACTCGATGGCTGGGGAGAAGGGCAATGGCAGAGGTCAGAATATGACACACTGATCCCCATACCCTACGTGAGCCCTGAAGTCCCAGCCTCACCCAGCCAGTCACCTCTGGACCTCTGTCAGTGGCCGGAGCCCCTGTAACCATTGCTGGATGTCAGGGTCAGGCCGGAGGTCATAGCCACGACATTCGTTCTGGAGCCTCCGCAACTCAGAGAGGACAGCAAACTCCTAGGAAAGGACTCTCAGATTATGGGAGCCAAAACTTAAGAACCCCGACTTTTCCTCTCCCCATCCTCTTTCCTGGGACATGGTTAGGGATGTCTAGCACCCAGCCCGAAGTGCTCCCCTCACCTTCCTCCGCTTGTCAAAATTGATGTATCCATTCTGCAACGATAAGGGGGTGGGGTGAGAGTCCCAACCCTGCCAGAGAGAGACTATGCCCCCTCCCAAACACAGGCACCTCCACATCCAACCACACATACTTCCTGTGCCTCTGACTCCACTCCCGCCCTCTGCCCATCTATCATTCCCTAGGCAGCCTACCTTACCCTCTAAATTGAATATCTCAGGTAGAAATTGTGTTCACTTTACAGAAGAGAAAAGTAGGACTCGAAGAAGATTAGGAACTTTCCCAAAGTCCCAGTATCAACTTATTTAACAAACTATATACACTTAAATTTCAGGTGTGTGCTAAGCACTCACCAAAAATTAATTCATTTACTCTTCATAACAGATTGATGTTACTAGTTTTACATTTACAGATCACCAAGGCACAAGAAGGGTAAGCAACTTGCCAAAGCAACAGAACCAGACCCCTGGCACTCTAGCCTGAGCCCTGGTGAGACCTCAGTGCTCATGCCTGCAGCCCCTTCCTAGAGGAAGGTCCGTCTGACCCTAAGGCCACTTGTTCCATCATCGCTCTGAATACACACACCACTGACCTCCAGCTCATTCTTGGATGCTGCATCCAGCATCACCAGGTCCTTCAAGAAGGTGCCAAGGTATGGGACCACACCCTGAGGTCAGAGATCAGAGTCAGACACCCCTGCCACTCACCTGAGAGCTCTCCATTCCTTGCACTTTCCCATCACACTGCCTCAGAGGACAAGGTGAATTGTCCTCACCCCACTGTGCCTCCCGTTCCTGTCCCTCCGACTGCTCCCCGCACACACTCCTTACTCCTTCGCAACCACCCCCGCACCACGTACTCACCCCACCCCGGGAGCCAGACTTTGGAGCCTTCTTGGAATTTGGCTCCAGAGAGGGCTGTGCCTTCACCTCCTAGGGGGGGTGACAGAAAGAGGAGAAATGGGGGTGGGAGGGCGGGCAGGGATGGCTAGGAACACCAGGAACAGGTTCTCACCTGAAGGAGCAGCTCTCGGCTCTGGGAATAATTATCCTCCTCAGAGAAAATCTGGCAGAGGTTGGAGAAGACCCTGAGGCTGTCCCTGGAGGATAGCGGGCAGCAGGTCTGAGGATGGGCCTGGCTCAGCACCTCTCTCCCAGCCCTCACCTCAACCCAGTGCGTCATCCTCCCTACCTGGCTGCTTCCCCCCAGGCTGCCCGAAGCCTGTGGATGGGGCTGGATTGCAGGGCCGACACCACAGCATAAACTGAAGAGAAGTTTCGGAGTAGACGGCACTCCTGTGGGGGTCAGAGAGGAAGGTCACAGCTGTGGGACCTCTCTCTACACCATGGTCCCCAAACAGGGCCAATCTTCTCTCTTACCTCTGCCACTCGGATCCACTTCTCCAGAAGCCGGGCCCTCTGGGGTGGACGGAGTGGCCGTATGGTCACCTCCCCAGGCTCCTCTCCAGTTGAGGTAGCCCCCAGGACAGAGCTGACCACTGCCCCTGCCACCTTGTTGAACTGTGTGACAGTAGCTCGCACAGATGGGCAGAGGTGGGAATGTCCTGGCCGGTCTCTGTGACCCCACAGGCCCCCCAGGCACTGAGAAGGAACCAGATTGAGAAACAGCTCCTGTGGGGCAGAGGACAGAGGTTAAAGTTCATAGTCAAAAGAGTCAGGCTTCCAATATCAGGGCTGTGAGGATCTCAGGTGGCCAAGGAACCAGAAGGGCACAGAATTTGAAAGGTAATAACCAACGGGAAACAGGGAAAGGTCAAAACTGGGTGGACAGAGGAGGAGGGCTGGAAGCAAGGAAAGGGACCTGGAGTCAGGGGAAGGTTAGTACGGGGGCAGGGGGCATGGGGGTCACAGGTCAAGGTCTCACCGCATCTAGCAGGGTCAGCTGTTCGGCCAAGTGGTCAGCGAGGAACACCAGGACATCCGTGGGGTCAGCAGGGGAATCGCCGGGGAGGGCCAGGGGCTTAGGAAGGTCGGGGGTCTGGGGGTCCACCCGGGACCGGAGGTTGCAGATGAAGTCAGCTCTGCCCCCCTCAACACCCTCCCCTGCTGCATACCCTGTCCGAAGTAAGAAGCTCTCAAGCCGGTCAAGCTGACCCTTAACCTCAGAGCCAAAATCCTCAGGGTGAGAGGCCAGCCAGGTTGACAGCACAGAGATAGCTACCCTGGGAGAAGGGGGATCAGCCAGGGGTCAGATGTCAAGCTACGGGTTGGGAGAAGGAACTCTGAGGTTAAGAATCAGGGATCACTCACCCTTTTGTCCTCTCTAGTTCATCGGTAGGATGAGATTCAAGGGTTTCCAGCCTGGGGAGGGAATGAGATTCTGTCTGTCCATTTCTTCCAAACCCCCAGTGGCTTTAACTACTTTGGTAGGATATTGAGGCTCCAGAAAGCCAAGATATCTCTATGACCCTTGGTCCCTTATGACCCTGACCTGTCAACCATAAGCCCAAGCAGAGCAGGAGTGGAGGTGAAGGCCCGGTGGGTGGCCAGGAAGGTTGCTGTGAAGGTCACATCAGCCCCTGATGTCCGGACATCCAGCAGGTGTCTGACCAGAGCCTCCAGAGTGCCGGCTCGGAGCCTCCGGGACAAACGTGGGGGAGGTGTCGGGGCCTGGGGGACACAGAGTGCCAGTTACTGTTCCTTTCTTCAAGTCTATCCCTAGACCTCTGGGGAAAACCCCAGACCTAGGAGATAATCTGGAACCATTGTATTAAGATTCAGAGACGGCAAAAGACTTGACCAAAGTCACAGCAGAGTCCAGGTCTCCAGACTGCCAGCCTAGCACTGTGGCCAGAAAGTGGCTCATTCTGCGGGTGATGGGTCAGAACTGAGAAGCCAAAGATATGTGCTCACCAAGGGATCAAGAGGCTGATATTGGCGGCTTGTGACAGTAAAGGTGGCACCATCCTCCTCCTCATCCCAGACAGACACAGGGGCCTGAAGGATTAAGGAAGGGGAAGTCAGACAGGCCCACACACCTTCCATTGTCCCAGCCCTCATGCCCAGGTCCTCTGTATGCCTAACCTGTGGTGGCAGGCGACAGTACCAGCAAGTGCGAGGGGTCGGGGGGACTGGTGACCCCAGGTCTTCCCCACTGGGGCCCAGGCAGCCCCACCCAAAGCACCTCAGAGCCCGATGGAGTCAAGGGGGTTATGGCAGGGGGCGGGGGGACATTCAGGAACCCTGACCCTGGAAACCACCGCAGCCCCTTCCCCCCAGAGCTGAACCCTAACCCAGAGAAGCAAAGTGCAAAGAGTAGGAGGGGAAACGGGGAGAGAGACAGAAAACCAGAGGCAGAGGCCTTGAGGAGCTGAAACCTTAGTCACGGGCACAGCCGCATGCCCTGCCCTTCCCCAAGGAATTAGCCAAGCCCCAAGAGCTAGGCTTTCCCCTTTAGCGCCCTTTCCCCAGTTCCCTAGAGAATCCCCCGCACCCCCCACCCGCCCCCGCAAGGTGGCGGCTCCTATCCTAGTACAGGAAGGAGAAGGGGAAGTGGGGATGATGGGGGGCGGTGGGGGGCGGGGCGGTATTCTCTTGACAGTCACGTGGCCCCAAGCCCTCCCCCAACCGATCCCGAAAAACCAGCCCTGCCAGTCACTCGGCCCTCACCCAGTCTCTGGACCAAAGAGTCCAGAATCTCGGGGCCCCAAATCCAACTTCTGGTCCCTCCTGAAGCCCCAAATCCTGCTCCTGGCCACCACTATTAGTCCCAGAGGAAAGCAGGTGACCGACCACCCCCAAGTCAACCTGGGATCTTCCCTCCAAAATCCAAGAACCTCGGCTTCCCGCCTCCATCCAGCGGCAGGCGGGAGAGCGGGAGGGCGGGAGGGGTCACGAAATCGTAGGGTTTCCTCCCCGATCCCAGGATCAAAGGAGCCGGTTACTGTGGAAACAAACCCCTCCCCGCCAAACAAAAAACTAGGAAGGAGACAGGGACCAAGACACAATGGCCTGTCAGGCAGGCACACGCTAGTAGAGGCGTAGAGGGCCAGAGGCCCGCAAGGTAGCCAGCCAGATGCTCCTGGCAGGAACAGCACTGAGGCCCTCAGTCACACTGCCACAGAGAACCACACAAATACCGGGACTCACAGCAGCTGGGGGATAGGCAGAAACCAGCATGAGTGTAAATAAATGATGCAGGGAGGAAGAAATTCAGGGACATAGACACGGAGAGAAAGGTGGAATCTCCGAAATATAACCCGCAGCCTCCCACCACCCATGTCTCACCTCGTCTTCTCCCTCCTCCTCCTCTTCCTCCTGCCCCACGCCCACGCTCCGGCCACTTGGGCCCCCACCCTCTTCAGGGTCTCGGCTCCGGAAGCTGCTCAGCACCACTCCCCCGGGGGGGCTCGTGTCCCAGAGCAGCCTCAGGGGCCGCGGGAGCATGGCCGGGTAGTCAGCGGGACTGGGCCATTGGGCGCCTGGGGAGAGAAAGGATGGGGCCCGGTGGAGGGTCTGGTGGGTGCTGATGAGCGGGGAAGGACGCGGGTGGGTGTCTAGATAACCCGATGGGCGTCCTGCTGGGAGGCTAGGGATGGGGCAACACAAGGGTGCAATATGGGAGGGCCCTGGTGCGTTTGGGGGTTGAGGGGGTCATGAGTACGGGAACAGGCAGGGTCACAAGGTGCTCTGGCTCTGACCTGCTCGGGAGGGGTTGGAGCAGCGCGGGTCCGGGCCGCTGGCTCCGTCGGTCTCCGGCCCCTAGTCGAGTCCCCTTCCCGGTTTTTCGCACCCCCCCGCGCCCCCCCACGCCGTACTGCCCCCGCCAGGCTCCTGGCCCTCCCGCCCTTTCCGCTCCCCCCTACGTCCGTCCGCTCTTAGTGCAGGAGCCAAAAAGGGAAGGAAGTGAGGACAGGAGTCAGGGTGGCGGACTAGAGGAGCAGTGGACGCCAAGAGGCCAGAACCCAGGAGCCCGGGTCCCCAGCTCCGCTGTCCTACCCCGCCCCACGTCTGACAGGGATCCTGGAACCCATGTCGCCCTCACTGGATTGGTATCGTTTACTGTCTTCAGTCCTGGGGGAGGGCCGGAGCAGAATTTGACATTCCCTTCCCCCATAAAATTAAAACTCCCGTGGAGCGCGTTTTAGGCGGGTGGGACCCAGTTACTCCACCCCGCGGGTTATACTGCCCACCCACGCGTGTCTTGGCCCTATTCTACTCCGGGTCTTCGAGAGAGCCCTGGGAGCCCGCCCTCCCGCCAGGGGGCGGACAAGGAAGCTGCTATATCCGGTTCCAGAATGGGTACTCCGGTGCTTCCCTCGCTGGATCTCCACTCTAGGTCACCTGGTAAAGCTGGCTGCTTGGGGGCGCCCGACCCCAAACTGTATCAAGCGGGTTGGGTGTCGACAGAAGGTTGGGATAATTGAAAAGCACCAAAAGTGACTGGAAGAGTCATTCCTTTGGAAGCACCAGAACGCAACTTTATTTCACCCAAAACACCCCCCTCCTCCCTATATAGGTCTGGCCCACCACCCTGCCCCTCGGATGTCCTCAAGTCGAGCCACAGCTTCCTTCGTCCAGTAGTTACTTCACCAAGACCTGTTTTTGAATACTTGAAACGAAAAGAAAAATACTATAATCTTATGCCGAAGCGCCCTCCAGTGTGCGCCAGGCCCAGGTCGAGCCCCGGAGATACAGCAGTGAACAGATTGACTCGTTCCAGCCTTCCAGGAGCGGGGAGGGGGGAGGGGGAGGGGTGGAGACAGAATTTAACAACGACTTATATACAAACGTGGTGAACCGCACAAGTGGGACGGGCGCGGGGTCTAAGGGGAAGACAAGGCTGGCCTGGTCTGGAGCCCAGAGAAAGCGAGGGTGGACCAGGGAGATGGAGCAAAGCTCTGGGACCCAGGGAGGGTGGGTGGGAGGCTACTGGAGCAAAAGAATAGCCCTTTGGTGTCATGAGCCTTGAGAGAAGGCCTGGAGGGTACCAGGATTGGGGTTGAAGAGGTTAGCAGTGGCTCCAGCGGAAAATGCACGTGCCAAGGCAAGAGGAATGGATTTGTCCTCTAGAGCATGGATTCTACTAGTGTGGACCCTGTCTTACAGGTCCCTGAGACTATTTCACATAGTATACAAAGTTAAAACGATTTTCATAATAATACTAAGATGTTACTTGCCTTTTTCACTCTCATCTCAAAAATGTACTGTGGAGTTTTCCAGAAGTTACATGATATATATTTACATACATCACTCTCACGGCTAATGGAATGTACTTTTGTATTGTTTTAAACTTTTCTGTTTTAAGCTTTAGTATGATAAATGTCTCTAGTTTATAACCCACATAAGCAAAAGCTCTTTAGAGTCCTTGATAATTTTTAAGAGGTCCTAAGGCCAAATAATTTTGAGAACCACTGCCCTAGAACTCTAAGAAGGTGAATGCCATTGATTTTTGTCTGTAAAAAACAAAACAAAACAAAACAAAACATTCTGGCAGCTCAGTGGAGAGAGATTGAAAGGAGCAGGAGCGTGTGATGGCATATTTTGAGGAGGGCAACTACCACAGTAGCTCAGGCCAGAGATGATGGTGGCTTCCCCAGGATGGTGGTGAGTGAACCTCACTGTGCTTTCTGTAAAACAAGTGAAAACAAGGTGAGGGATTCAGCGTTTTAGAAATTAGGATGAAGTGCTCATGGTTGATCCAGAGATTAAAGGAACCACCATGGGCATAGAGGGTGGGACAATAATGAAGCTAACATTTTCTGTTTTCTGCCTGGCAGACACTGGGCTAAATGCTTTTGCTCCTGCATCTTCCAAAGGAGATGCACTATCTCCTCTAATCCTCCCAAAAGCCCTCTGAAGGCTCCACTGTCTAATGCCATAGCCACCACCCACACGAGTCTATTGAGCATTTGAGAGTGGCTAGCGTGAACTGAAACGTGCTGAGTTTAAAATAAACACCTGTTGCTCTGGTCAGGTGGCTCAGTTGTTTAGAGGGTCCTCTTGTGCACGAGAAGGTTGTGGGTTCGATTCCAGTCAGGGTGTGTGCAGGAGGCAATCACGGATGTTTACCCCTTCCTCTCTCAGAAAATCAATTAACATTTCCTTGTGTGGGGATTAAAATAAAGACCCGATTTTGAAGGCTTAGGACAGAAAGAAACACTAGAATTTCTTATACTGATTACATGTTGAAAAAGTTTATTAAAATTAATTTTATCTGTTTCTTTTTAACTTTCTGGACAAAAAAGAAGTCCTATGGAAAGTAGCCTCAGAGGGTGATCTAATCATGAATTTCTAAATGGGAAGGTCATGTTGGATAGTCACACCCCACACACATTCTTTAGTAAAGGCTTATCTTTACCTTAAGCAAACCCTGTTCATTGTTTTTGTGCATTTAGCACACCTTTGAAATAATAACTACCCTCAAGATAGCATATAATCTTGTTAACTATCCTGTACTCCAATCCCCACCTTACTTTCTTACTTTTATGTAACCTTCCTTATATATTCCCTCAATTTCAAATGCATAAAAGCTGCAAACTATCTTTTCGAGGAGCATTTGAGATCTTGCTTCCTGGCAATTGTCAGTTTGGTACAAACTCACAAAAATTCTCTACAGCTTTGGATGCTTGGATCTACTCTCATGTGACTACGAGACTATTTAAATTTACATATGTGGCTTGCATTATATATTTTTTAAAATTTATTTTTAGAGGGGAAGGGAGAGAGCAAGAGAGAGATAAACACTGATGTCAGAGAAACATCGATAGGCTGCCTCCTGCATGCCCCCAACTGGGGCCCTAGTTGGCACATGCCCCCAGGAATCAAACCAGCAACCTTTCAGTTTGTGGGATAACACCCAACCCACTGAGCCACCCCAGTCAGGGCACTGCATTATATTTCTATTGGACAGCACTGCGTAAGTCTTTTTTTTTTTTTTTAATACCTACACCCAAGGAAACAGATGTTGGTTAAGTAGCATGTTTAAGGTGGCAAGATTTAACCCAAGCCTGTGTGAATTCCAAGGCAAGTTCTGCCCACCATGCCAGTAGTCTCCCTCCATGTGTGAGGAGTTGGGGGAAGGGGTCGAAATGGGAAGGGAAATATTAGACTACGGTGGAGGCTATTACCTTCTCCTTCGACTCCTTGGAAGTAGACAGGTAGGCAGCTGTGGAGAGATGGAGAAGACATGGGATTGAGGAGTGGTAGGGCAGGCAGGGGGATGGGTGTGAGGCTTCTGGGAGTAAGCAGGAATTGACTTCCAGTGTCAGTGCACACTCACCTGCCCAGCCCAGTGCTTTGAGGAGTCCCAAGAGCAGAAAGGCAGAAAGGAAGAGACCTATGCCATCCTCTAGGGAGGGTCCAGAGAGACCTGGTGGGAGGGGTGAGAGTGAGCTCCCCCATCTCTTCCCTGGCACCCAACCCTCTTCTCAGCACCCTACCCGCTTCGCTTCTCGATCCCTTTGGCTCTTACCTGCCACCTCCAGGGTGACTTCAGCACTGCGCCCCAAGGTAGGCAAGCTGGGATGGTGGACACGACAGGCATAGCGTGCCCCATGCTGAGAGGCAGTGACTGAGGGAGGCTGCAGGTGCGCGGAGAGGCTGACAGAGCCATCTGAGTGGTGGCGCAAGGCTGAAAGCCAACTTTGTCCCTTGGCCTTCTGAAAGCTGTCCTCTGGGCCACCTCGGAGTTCCCACTCCACCTCTAGGCCCTCGGGGGGATAGAAGTGGGACACAAGGCAAAGCAATTCTGGGGGTACCTCCCCAGGAGCAGCCCATACAAGAGGTGCTGGCATCAGGGACACTTTTGGGGGCTCTGGGATGAGAGAAGGAAAGTAGCAAGGAGTGAATCAATCTACATTGTCCTCCCTCAGTTTGCCCTCTGGCTTCCCCAAAACTAAGGGAGTTTGGGTCCTTTTATCCCAGGATGGGGAACGCACTGTCCCCCCACTCATACATCACAGGACTTATGTCAAAGCCCTGGTTCTCAGGAACCCATATTCCCTCAGATTTGGGAATGTTTATACCAAAGCCCCTCAGATTCCCAGGGAGCCTCCACCCATTGCCCCTCTGACTCCCAGGGACCCCAATCTTTCTCCCCCCACTCACCCTGCATCCTCTTCCACCATCCCTCCCCCTACATGGCGTCCCCATAATCCCAATGCCCACCCTCTATCCAGGGGGACCCCAACTCACTCTGTACAGCAAGCTCCAAGGTGACCTGCCCTTGTAGGTATGGCAGATGTATTGTAGCTAGATAGGAGCCTTCCTGGAAGGGCTGCACTGAAGGCAGCCGGAGGGTTCCATTTCCAGTCCATGGACCCCATGGCTCATCATCATCCCAGGCAGCAAATGCCACTGCCCCATCTCGGGCAGCTGGCATTTGCCCACTTAGGCCAGGAGTTGCAGCCAGGAGCAGGTGCCCCTTACCCAGGTGCTGGTGTCTCCATTCCAGACCAAAGGGGGGAGGACCTGGTGCCAGAGATGCAGTGGTCTCTGGGGTGAGGGGCATGTAGGCAAAGCTCAAGTCCAGCACAGCATCTTGTCCCAGTCGGATTCGAGTGGTAGGGGTATGGGTGACAACAGTCAGCACAGCTGGGGAAGATGGGGAGAGAAGGGAGTGGGAGGGGCGTGAGAGAAAGGAAGGAAAAATAGAGAAATGGAGTTCTAGGGTGGACTGAACTCCAATTCACCCACCCCTCAGAAGACACCTCTTTTTCTGAGACTCATCATCTCCCAACCATCCCTGCAAATAGCTTTTGCTCTGGAACTGGGTGAGACCTAGTGTGGCTGAGGGTGAGCAGAGAGGTTTAAAGGTGAATAGGGACAGGGGGTTAAGTATAGCATAGCCCTGGCAGGCTGCTCTGAACACAGCCCTCTTGAGCTCTAGGGACAGCAGGATCTGAGTGAATTTCTTTCTTTTTAAAATAATTTTTTTTTTTTTTTTTTTTTTTTTTAGAGAGGGGAAGGGAGGGAGAGAGGAAGAGAAGCATCAACATGCAAGAGATACATCCATTGGTTGCCTCTTGCACACCCCCTACTGGAGACCTGGCAACCAAGGCATGTGCCCTGACTGGGAATCAAACCGGTGACCTTTAGGTTTGCAGGCTGGCCCTCAATCCACTGAGCCACACCAGCCAGGGCTGAGCACATTTCTGACACAGCCTGAACCAGTCCAGTCTACACACCACCCTTAAAAGATCCAGGCCTTTCTTGGATTGCTGGTAAAGACAATGATTCATGACTGTTGATCCTATGGTGCTATAAAGAATACTTACCAACGTTGGAAGGGTCTGGTTCTGGCCTAGACCTGGAAACAGACCTCTGCTGTACTGAACAACCATGCTGATTAAATGCCTGGAGCCTGGATGCCCTGTTTAATCCCAACTCTGAAGTTATTTATGGGGCCTTGGGCCAGTTACTTCACTTTCCATGGCTCTGCTTCCTAATCTCCTAAATAAAGATAATAATGATGATAATAGTGCCTATTTCATGGGGTTGTACAGAGGGTTATATTATTTAATCCCTCTTGCTACCCAGTTATATTCAGTTCCTGATTTAGGATAACAAAGATATCTACATATGAATGGCACTTAGCACAGTACCTGGAACACAGTAAGTCTTCAAAAGTATTTGCTGTGATTACCTCTAACCATCTGCCAGCCTTAACAGGGCGCAATTCAACAGCATCTATGCAACATTCCCCACCCTGCTCCAATGTCCATCTTTCCTGCCTTGATGAAAGAGCAACACTTGGAGTCACAAGACACCTTCCTTTTATTCATTCAACTAATATTTATTGAGTACTTAGGATGTTCAAGGTAGAAGACAGACTGGTATACAAGATGGGCAGTCCTTGTCCTCAAATTGCTTACAGTTTAATAAGGGAGAGAGATGAGCAAATTGCCAAATATAATAGGCTATGTGCTGTCCCCACCAGGTCCTGGTTCTGTCTCCTGAATAGATCTGTTTCTAACTCAAGTTCTCATCAGTGTACATTTGGACAATTACTATAGCCTCCTTTTTGGTCTCTCTATCCTGTCTTTCTTTCCTTCAATTCATCCTTTGCACTGTAGCCACAGTAGCTATAAGTCTGACCTGGTCACTTGCTTGTTTAAAAATCCTAGCTACCTTGGAAACCAACGACTAAAGGCATAGGCTGGAGCTAGATGGCCCAGGTTCAATTTCTTGCCCACTTCTTACAAGCTGTGTGTAAGTCACCTACCTGCTCTGTGTCTCATACTTCATCTGTGACATGCAGATAGCATCAGTATGTAGTTTCTATGGCTACTGAGAGGAATAAGTGAGATTGTGCCTATAAAGTGCTTAGAACAAGACTTGGCATATAGAAAATGCTTGATGAATGTTATCTGTGGCTATTTCCATTACTATCATCATGAACTGGGTATCTTGGGAAAATCGGTTTATCTATTTCCCTCATACTCCAATGATATGATCCTTGCCTAACTTTTGTAAGAATCAAGTAAAATTACAGGCTCTTTGGGAAAATGGTGCACATACATGCACACACACACAACCTTCTGGTGGTTCACTATCACCTATGAAGCCTAGCTTTTAGGGTACTTGATAATTCAACCCCTAATCTATCTTTCCAGGCTTCTCTTGCACCCTTAGAACCAGCCACACAGAATCCCTTTCTTGCAGCTAGTGGAACTCTAATCATTGGGAATTTCTTTACTTCAGTCATAAGGTTCCTTCAGTTTCCAATGTCCCTCCCCATTTCCTCCCAAACATCTAAACTCTATGTCCCTCAAGATTCCATTGCTACTACCTCCCAGAAATGTTTAGGTCCCCTAGGTATAAATAGTATCTTTTTTTTCTTGTGATTATCTGTATATGATTTTCAATCCTAGTCTCTGAGGCCTACAAAGTTAAACTTCTCTTAATCTCATGGGATTGTTTTTGTTCAATAGAGTAAACAAAAGTAGACAATGTCACCTAGTTTATCAAAATCCAGAAACATACTTTCGAATTGTTAAAAACAATCCAGGGGATTAATAACAAAAGCTATAGGCTTTACAGTTTAACCCTTAAGCTAACTGCTCTTTTTATATGAGTTACTGAAGCAGTTTTAGACCTGTGGCCCACAAACTGGACTCTGTAAAAATACAAGTATAAGTACAGCAGGGCCAGAACAGTAAGAAAATTTCTGTCTGTTTTTGCAGCCTGTATTATAAAAAAGGTTTTTGCTTTTCTGTTTAAAAAAAAGTGAATGGTAACAACTACTATAAAGTATTACAGAAAAAAATTTAAACTCAAATCTAATTAGGCTTCTAGATCTATCAATTTATAGGAACTATGAAGAAAAAGGAACAAGGGATATGACAGTGAGGAAATAATTGACCAAATATAGAATGTGGAAAATTCTATAGAACAAATGACAAATCAATAGCATTTAAGGGGGAGGGGGAGGCAATTATAGACTAAAAGAGATTTAAGAAACAAAACTGTTATATACTGACTGTCCCTGGTCTCCTCCCTCCCCGAATTCATATGTTGAAGCCTTAACTCAAAATGTGACTGCATTTGGAGACAGAGGATATAAGGTGAGAAAGTTTAAATGAGGTAAAAAACAAAAGGGCCCTAATCTGACTGAGCTGGTGTCCTTGTAAGAAGAGAAACACCAGAGACATCTCTCTCTCTCTCTCTCTCTCTCTCTCTCTCTTCTGTGAGGACACAGCCACAAGGGGCCAGCTCTCACCAAACACCAACCCTGCTAGCGCCTTGATCTTTGACTTGATCTTAGACTTCTAGCCTCCGGGACTGTGAGAAAATAAATTCCTGTTGTTTAAGCCCAAGCAGATACAACAACAAAATATAATACATGGACCTGTTTTTGATCCCGATTTGAACAAATAAACTATAAAATAACATCATTTAGACAATTAGGAAATTTTTAATATGGGCTAGGAATTAAATTATATTAAGGAATTATTGTTTATTTTGTTAGCTATGATAAAAGAGAAGGAAATCTTAATCTTTGTGACATTATGGATGGACGTGGAGAGCATTATGCTAATAGAAATAAGCCAGTCAGAGAAAGACAAATGCCACATGATTTCACTCATATATGGCATCTAATGAGCAAAATGAACTGACAAGCAAAATAGAGACAGATTCAGAGACAGAAAGCAGACTGATGGCTGGGGTGGGGGAAGCTGCAGGGAGGGAGGGATTGAGCAAAGAAGAAAAGCTCATGGGGAAAAAGATGCTTTCTGAATCACTTATGACCAAAATATTTAATATAATGCCTGGAATCTTCTTTAAAACACTTTTAAAAAAGAAAATAAGGTGGGGGAGGATAGGTGAAACAACTTGGTAAAATGTAACAATTCTACAAGTGAGTGATGGGTATGTGAGATTTCATTGTACTATTCTCTTTATTCTTGTATATCTTTCAGATTTTCCATAACAACGTTTGGGGTTTTTTAAAAATCCTCACCAAAGGATATGTTTTAGTGAGTTTAGAGAGAGCTCTGGTTGGTGTGGCTCAGTGAACTGAGTGCTCACCTGTGAACCAAAGGGTCACAAGTTCAATTCCCAGTCTAGGGCACATGCCTGGATTGCGGACCAGGTCCCCAGTGGGGGGTGCGCAAGAGGCAACCACATGTTGATATTCCTCTCCCTCTCTTTTTCCCTCCCTCCCCCTCTCTAAAAATAAAATAAATAAAATTAAAAGGTTTGAAAAAAAAAATCTCAGAGAGAAACATTACCATAACAATGTTTTAAAAGAATGATAGGATTAAATGTCATTTGACATATGTTAATAAAGTATATTTGTCAACAAACATTTAAAAGTATCCTGTATTTGCCCTGGCTGGTGTGGCTCAGTGGACTGAGCTTGCCAGTTTGATTCCTGGTCAGGGCACATGCCTGGGTTGCAGGCCAAGTCCCCAGGAGGGGGTGCAACCACATGGATATTTCTCTCCCTCTCTTCCCCTCTCTTTAAAAATGAACAAAACCTTAAAAAGTATATAAAATAAAAGTATCCTATATTTGATAAGAAGTGATATATAAATGTATATTAGCAAAATTATCAATGATCTGAAACCCTGAAAAGATTCCATTTTTGATTTTCCATTAAAACAACAAATTTCATTGGCTTAAATCTGTAATCAAGCAGAAATGCTTGAAAGGGAAGGCTGAGCACAGTAACTAGTTTCTAACTCCAGTGTGTTTGAGATGCAAAGACCTGGGCATTCCCCTGGCTGCACTTCTTTCAGGGCCCAAGTGACTTTCTACACTACAATTATCCATGACAAATCTGCCAAAGACCTTCTTGAGAGCAGAAACTACATCATATCACTTTTGTGACCCTTATAGGGACCAGGGCCATCCCAGAGATTCTTTTTAATTTGTCTGGAGTGGGACTCAGTTTACAGTATATTTTAGAAACTTCCAAGAGGATTCCTATTTGCAGCCTGGACTGAGAACTACCGGGTTCTTGGTGCTAATAAGTATTTATTGAATCAGTGAATAAATTAACAAAGCCACATTAATAGTCACAACAAAGTAAAGGCAGATGGGAAAACAGCATCCACATTTTACATTTGGAAAAACAGACTCCAAGAGAAAAGGATATTCTCGCCCCACCCCAGTAAAGCCAGTAGCTCTGGGAGATACTCCTCCACACTGGAGTGAGCTACTGTATCCAAGGGCAGTTTGCTCCTGCCCTTGCCCAGGGGTGGGGTCCTGTGAGTGCTTATCTCAGTGAGGAGGGTGGCAGGGAGGAGGTACTGGGGAAGGGAAGGTGCAGAAGTAGGCTGGGCTGACCTGCTGGTCAGGCTGCCTTGTTTACATGAAATCGCACAAAACTGAGGAAAGCCAAGAACTCTACTCACACCCTCCCTCACTGGGTGAGCTCCTAGATATCCCAGTCGGATCTCACCATTCTTGCTTTACCCGGCCTCTGCATCCCTGAGCCCCAGCCCAGTGAAGTGCCGGATCCCGGGGCCTCAAACCAAGTTTGAGCAATGGGAATTGCTTGCAATGGGAACCATCTGGTCTCCCACCGTGTCCCTTCCGCCCACTGGAGCACACCATTTGGTAACCAGAGACAGCGCCGCCCCAAGCGCCACAAGGAAGGGGCTGTCAGTAAAGTCAACACTAGAGTGGAAGAGCTTTCATTTGGCTGATTGCCGCAGCACCGGATGTGGGCTCGGATGGGGCTAGAAGACTGGTTTTTGACAATGGATGAACCGCGAAGGTGGGGGTACCTAGCAAGATACAGATCTGAGAGAAGAGAAAAACGTTTCTGCTCTGAGCCCCTCCCACAGTGTTGCCTTACGAAGTCGGGTATTTGGAAGCCCCGCCTCTTTCCAAAGCCCCGCCCCCAACCTCGGAAGGGGGAGTTTGTGGGGTTGGGTTTTTTTTCGGGTTTGTTTTTTTTAACTGGTTGGGACTTGAAGACTCAGTAGAGATAGTTTCCTTCTAGCCGAACCCACTCGCTTTACAAATAAGGAAACAGAACTCCGATTGGGGAAACAGCTCGCTCAAGTCCACACAGCAGTGGCCAACTGACCTAGATGCTTAGAACACACCCATTCAGCTCCACTTTCCATCTCCAGCTACCTGTTGCCATGGTGATGAGTGCAGGCTCCCGCTGTGACTCGGACTGTCGTCGCAGGAGGCTGGAGAGGCTGACGACCGGGCTGGATATGCTGACCATGAGCCAAGTACCGTCCAGGACCCGCGGGCAGCTCTGCTCCGGGGTCAGGCCGCTGGCCCAATTCGCCGAGGCAGGGAGAGGGATGTAGCGGCTCACCTCACAGTGTGGTGCAGGGGCACTCAAAGGGTACTGCCTGAAGGCCGCGTGGAGGGCGCCCGCAGGATCTGTCAGTGCGGACAAAGGGTTGCAGCAGTACAGTCACTGCTAGAACGGAGTGGAGAAGGGCAGCGTCCAGGGAATTTCAGATGCACACAACTACGCGGTAGGGAAAGGTTCTGAAGTAATCCAGGTTCATTTTACAGAGGGGAAAACCGAGGCCCGAGGTCCCCGCGCGACCTAGAGCGGATGAGGTTTCTGTGGAGGTCGACAGTTGGGGGCGAGTCTGGGAAGACTCACCGTGCACTTTGAGGTAGAGCTCAGGGTCGAGGTCTGACCGGAGAGGTGGTTCCCCCGGGCCTTGGCGCAACAACAATGCTGCGGGTCTCTTGGTCAGGCGGCCCCCACCTGCATCCTCCACAAACCAGCACTCTATCACTGCTGGTCCCGCGGACACCATGGCCTCCAAGCCTGGGTGAGAGTGAACAGGCGGCTCAGAAGTCAGGCGACCCGATCTCCTCCCACCCCCGAGCAGGGAACTTGGCAGGTTCACCTTCCGTTCCCCCCCTTTCAGTTCCAAGGCAAAGAGTCGCGGGGTTTGCTCACCCAAAGACACAGCGAGGAGTAGGGACAGGAGCTTCATGGCGCGGCGATCTCCTCAGCCCTGAAACCCCCTTTTTCCCCCTTTCACTTTCACTTTCCTCGAAAGGCCAGCAGAAGGGGCGGAGGAGATCCCCGCCCGGGTTAGGTGAGAGCGCGTGGTAGGCAGGTGCTTCCTCCACTGGTGCGATAGTGATGCCGGAACATCCTCCCCAGTTCTGGTCTGACGTCCTCTGCCGCGCCCCACTCTCTAGAGCTACCCAGTGCCACCAGTCCATAGCCCTCCCGAACCCTAGGCTCCTCCTCCAGTCTCCTCCCGCCCAGAGTCCGCTTCTCCGAGAACCATTATTCCGCTTCCCTCCCCCCTCTCCCCGCCCCCGTGCCGGGTCCCCAGCAAACACACAGGGGTTGTCAGGAAGCCAAGTAAAATGACCAATAAATATTTTAATCACTGTTTAAAAAAAATAAGATTTAAAACAAAAACCTTGTACTTCTACGGCTTCCTCCCTCTCTATCTCCACTCCTTCCCCAATAAGAATAGAGTTGAGGGGCTCCAAGGATGGGGAGGAGGGATTAGGGTAGATATCAGGGGCACATCGTTGTGGGGAGGGAGTGAGGTGGGTTCTAGGACAAGGATTGGGCTCCAAGGCCTGGTCCCCACAACAACACAGACAGACTTAAGATACAAACTACAACCACCTGACCCTTGACCCTGTGACTCTAGGATGTTCCACAGGCGCCCTCTCCCTTCCCCACTACATGCACCCTATTCTGCAGCTGGGGCTTCAGTGTACACACCTGAGGGAAAGGAAGGGTTATCGGGATACTTTGAGGGGGAGGAGCTGAGGAGTGGAATGGGTTGGTCGATGGCGCAATGCAGTTCCCTCTTCAGAATATATACATGTCCCTAGAGATAAGGAAGACAGCAACTGTAGTGGGATATCACGTGGGAGCCACAGCACCCCCCTCCCCGGCTCCTGCTCCCCATTTCCTCTTACCTGAAAACTACTCCTAGTAGCCTGCCACTTCAATTTGTGCCTCCGCCCCCACTGAAACCCATCTCTACTTTGTGGACGCTGGGTGGAGACCAGACTCCATGGTTGGGCGGAGGTGTGGCCCCACTCACCTCATTGTTGTTGCCCCCGACCACCCCGGGTGACTCTCTCCTGGGTGGCAAAGCTGGCCCCGTGGGCCCTCCTGGTCCTGGTCCAGCCCCACCGCCACCCAGGCGGTGCCGGCGCTCACAATGTCCTCGGTGGCGCATGAAGCTGTCTCGCCACATGAACTTCTTGGCACAGACGCCGCATTCGTAGGGCTTGAGGCCTGTGTGCGTCTTCATGTGCTCGGTCAAGTGGTGCTTCATCTTGAACTTTTTGTTGCACACAGGGCAGTCAAAGGGCCGAAGGTTGAGGTGCATGTTCACATGCCGGTCTCGCATGCTCTTGTGGGAGAAGGCCTTCCCACAGTGGCACAGAAAGATTTTATTGCCATCCCCGCTGCCTGTCCCTCCAGCACCACCTGGGACACCCAGGCCCCCTGCAGATGTGCCAGGCAGGGTCACAGCCCCGTGTTGAGCTTGGTTCCCTGGAGGCTGGCCTGGAGCCTGTGAGGAGGAGGAGGACGACGAAGGAGATGGGAAGACTAGGATCTGGTTGCCCTGCATGTCTACAGGAAGCAGGGGCCGCTGTGGGTGGGAGGGGGCGTAGGAGGAAGGGGTAGGCCTCCTTGAATCATCAAGCCCTGCCCCAGGACCCCCACCCTCATAGGTGCCAAAGTCATTGGAGGACTCACAGAAGTTGACCTGCTCTTCTTCTTTGCCTGGAGGCTCAGTCAGGGTACGGACATCACTTATGCTAAGGGTAGCCTCAGATCCTCCCTGCACTGGAACCCCGGAGCCACCCCCTAGCTCTTCATCTTCATCATCCTCACAGGTCAATACCAGATCTTCCTCCTCCTCATCCTCTTCCAGGTCTTGGTCTTGGGGAGCCAGGGGTGCTGGTGCTGGGCAGTTTCCACCCCGCTTCACATATATCCAGTGTTTCTGTGGCATGATGCTAGTGGGTGCATAGGTAGGCCTCCGGAGCCCAGCCCCAGGAACCACCGCACCCCTCCCATCCCCACTGTCATCGCACAGCTCATCTGCCTCCAGCAGCAGCTTCCCAGAGGTAGCCCCCCCACTGCCAACCACAGGGGCTGGGAATATAGGGCCACTTCCTCGACGCTCCCTGCTGCCCATTGCAGAAGCTGCAAACACCTCTTGGGAAGAAGAAGAGAAGTCAGTGGACTCTCGGGGGCTGAAGTAGTTGCTGCTGCTGGGTGACTGATTCTCACTGGCCCGACTGGAGGCATGGGAGCGCACAGATCCCATGGTGGCAGAGGCCACGGTGCCCCCACTTCCTGATGAGACCCCAGCACCAGGGACAGTGACTGAGGTGGCTGCAGCAGTGGTGCTGGTGGTGGCTGACGCCCGGCCTTGGCGAAGGAGTTCGGTGCATTTGTCCACAATGTGCCACATTTGGAGCACAGAACCCACTGTGAGGAAGTTGACAATGTCAGCAGCAGCCATGCTGAGGCGACCAGTGTAAGCTGAAGCCAGGACAGTCTCAAAGGCGCCTGGGTCCATGACACTGGGCAGCGAGATGGAGGTCATGCCCTTGAGTAGGACCTGGTCGTGGAAGTAAGGGGAGGAGGCAGCCAGGACAGCACGGTGAGCCCTGAACTCCCTGCCCTGCACTCGGATGGACACATCGCAGAGCTGGCCCTGTAGCCGCTGCTGATTGAGGGACTCCAGGAGGGCACTGGTTACCTCAGGGAAGGACACGTGTACCACTGCAGCAGCAGGCAGGGGCAGTGGGGGCGGGGCCAGAGACAGAGGCAGGGGAAGTGCTGCCCCACTTGGAGACAAAGGAGATGGCTCCATGGTTTGGAGGGAGGGGGTACCCCCCCAGCCACAGGAACAAGGGAAGGAGGAGGGCGGCCGGGGGGGGGGGGTCTCTGGGAAGAAAAAAAGAAAAGAGAATATTTCATAATGAAACAGCCCTTTACAGTTTAAAAACGTGTTCACACCCATTATTTTAGTAACTCCCTGCAACACTGTTCCTCTCAACCCCATTTGAGAGATGAGAAACCTGAGGCTAAGAAAGACAAAGAGATTATTCATGGTCACAGCCAGCAAGTGGCAGCGCCAACAAACTCAGGTGTCCTGACTCCAAATCGAGAGTCCTTTCTTTGGAGGTTAGGGAAACAGGTGCTCTTTGGGGTGCCTCCTCTTCCAATTTCCTACATGCCAGAGAGCCTGACTTTCCAAAATTTACCTTTTTGATGTTTTGCACCCTTTTCTTGGCAGGGGGGTTCTGCCCTGTTACTTAAAACCACCCTCTCTCTAGTTCCTTTGAGCCTCTGCCTCGGACTCTTTCGCCGGTCACGCCCCATTGCCCCAGCTTAACTCTAGCCTCGCCCCCATTGAGACCCGCCCCCAGGCCCTTTCGGCCCCGCCCTTTTCAAGACCCGCCTCTGTAGCTTTTCGGCCCCGCCCCTTGCCTACCCCCGCCCCCCTCTGCTCCGCCCCAAGAGCTATTCCGACCTCCTCTCCCACCCGGAAGGCGCCCCACAACCCCGCGCGTCTCCGCTTACCGGGCCGCGCGCCCCCGGGTCCCCCCGCCCCTCACTCGGCCGCCAGAGCCGCAGGCTGAGCCCCTCCCGCCGCCATCTTGCGCCGACTCCCTCCGCCCTCCGCTTCCGCTCCACCTCCTCCTCCTCCTGCTTTAAAGGTACAGGCAGGCACCCCGCCCGTGCCGCTGGGCCATACTCGGCCGACTCGGCCGCTTCTCCTTTAAAAAGTAGTTGCTTCCTTCCACCTTAAAGGTGCCAGGTCTCTTCGCCTCTGAGGATTCAGGACTTGGTTTGGCCGAAGCACTTATTCCCCTTTAATTCTGTAAGCGTGTTCCTTCCCTTTGGCGAGGGGTCTTGGCCTTGGAGCTGTGGCCATCAACGGGTTTGCGGGATCTAATCGCCTAAATCTCCGTTTTCAGACGGTACCCCAGAAACCCCGCCCTCTTTCTCCGGTCCTTGGATTGGCAGAATAACCTTGAATCAGCTCCTGATTGGCCTTTTTAGTCTAATCCCTCAAAGAGAGAAAGTAAAGCGCTGAAGCACCTTTTTGTTTTTTAGTGCTTGGCAAAGGGCAAGGGGAAAGCATAAGGGCAAGGAAACCCCGGGAGAAGGGGGCTAAGGGCAGACTAGGAAGGGAGGACCCAGGGCTAACCTGGGACCGGGCCACCCCCTAAGTCCGAAAACAGTTGGTGCCAACGGGTGAGAGCAGAAGGACAAAGACAAGACAGGGTTACAATAAGAACTTTATTGTTTATTAATGTTTTGTGTAAAACTTAAGTTGTTTTATTTTTAAAGAAATACCACCAAAAGGGGATTAGCTCAGTCCATCCCTTCCTCAGTCATCTGCGTCCCACCATCCTCCAAATACTATCCCCAAACATTTTGGAGTTCGGGGTGGTGAGTAGGCAGCTAATCAGAGTCTGAGAGCACGATGATCTCCTCTGGATCGCATTGTGTAGCCACACTCATCTGCAAGGTAGTGAGAGACAGAGTCAAAGAGGTCTGGAATATAGGGGGAAGAGAAGGGGAGAGGACTTAACCAGATTAAAAACTAGGGTAGGAAAAAGGAAGAAAGAGGATGCAGTGAGTTCAATATTCAGATGAAGCGCCTGAAAATGAAAGGACATTGAAAGAGAATGAAGTCAGGAAAAACAGCCTTCCCCTCTTACCTTGTAAGTACCAGGCTTGGACGGTTTTAACTGGGGAGTTAGGGGCAACTGGGTTGGAGATGGGCTACAGAGCGAACTGGTCACCAGGCCATGGCTAGGAGAGTCCACCCTTGTTGAGGAATCAGCAACTGGGGTCATGGAAGCCAAGGGGGAAGGTGGGCTGGACAGGGTACATATCTTCTTCCCAGTCTTCTCATGTACTGCCCTTTGCCCTTCCACATAGCTAGGGACAGAAACATAAATGTAGGGAGCTTGAGGCTGAAGGGGGAGTGTCAGTCTCTCCCAGCAGACTCAGTTCCTCAATACTCCTCTCAGAAAGCCCCCTGCAATCCCTCCTTGGCTTCCCTCTTCTTCTTCCTTGTTGTTACCTGTTTCCTAATGGCCCTGCTCCTGTTTGCCTCTCCTTGCGAAATTTCTTGCAGGGGGGACTAGAATCTCCCCAGGTGTGAGGAGAGACACCTCCATTGAAGGAAGTAGAAGTGACCATGGCTGCT